CCCCCTTGGGGGGGGGGGGGATGTAAGGGGATATAAGGGCGGCTGAAGGAGCAAAAGTAGCGGCGAGGGGGAGAGAAGCAGGCAGCGGGAGGCAGCAGCATCCCCCGGCTCCGGCTGCCGGTCCTCGGGCTGAGGGAGGGGAGGGCGAGGGGAGGAAGGCTCTCCCGGCCCCCCCGATGTGGGCTCTGCTCGCTCCCTAATGAGCTGCTCCCAATTTGGGGGAGCAGAGCGGCGTTTTGGAGATGTTGCCCTGTTTCATCTGGCTCTCCCTCCCCGACCTGCTTAACGCCTTCGCCGCCCCGGGAAAGTTGCCCTTCAACGGGAGCCTGGAGGAGCCTTTTGTAATCCCAAACCTCTCGGGTTTCTTTCCCTGGGACAACGCCAGCCTGGCCGACTGGCAGAGCTTCGTGGGCAGGAGCCGGTACGGAGCAGAGTCGCAGAGCGTCACGGTGAAAGCCCTGCTGGTGGCGGCGTACTCCTTCATCATCGTCTTCTCCCTCTTCGGCAACCTCCTGGTCTGTCACGTTGTCATCAAGACCAAGCGCATGCACTCGGCCACCAGCCTCTTCATCGTCAACCTGGCTGTAGCCGACATCATGATCACCCTCCTCAACACGCCTTTTACGCTGGTAAGACCGGGGCAGAGATGCCATAAAGGCTCAGCAGCTGCTCTGGTGGCCTTTTCTTCTTTACGCCGCTATAGGCAGGGTATGAATGTCTTGCAGATACTTGTTCTGGTCCAAATTAGGCTCTCTTCCAATATCTGAAGGGAGCCTACAGGAGAGCTGGGGAGGGACTCTGTCAGAAAGTGCAGTGACAGAATAAGGGGTAATGGCTTTAAATTGGAAGAAGAGAGATTTAGATGAGATACCAGAAAGAAATTCTTTACAGTGAGGGCGGTGAGACACTGGAACAGGTTGCCCAGAGAAGTTGTGGATGCCCCATCCCTGGAAGTGTTGAAGGCCAGGCTGGATGGGGCTTTGAGCAACCTGGTCTGGTGGGAGGTGTCCCTGCCCATGGCAGGGGGGTTGGAACTAGATGATCTTTAAGGTCCCTTCCAACTCAAACCATTCTATGAGTCTATGAAATTACAGAGATTGGAGTTATCTTTGGAAAACTCCACGTCTTTTTTCTTCTCTAATTCCTGTTATCTAGGTGAATACCTGAAATTATCCATTTGTTAAAAGTGGCCCTGATAGCACTTGAACAATAATAACCGCACGGTGATTACTAAGCGCTTCATAGTATATGGTCTTTTTTTTTTTCCTCCCCTTCTCTGAAGTATTTCCAAGCTAATACTACAAACCTCTTGAGAAAAAAAGATTAGTGCTCACCATCGTTTTGCAAGCTGTGTCGAAAAGCTGCAGTTTGCTTTGAAGTAAGATAAGGCGCAAGGTCAGCCCTGTCCTGTAAGGAGGGCTCACAGCGAAAAATGGATGTATTGGCTCAATAGACTCCAGAAGGACATGCTGTGAAGAAAACAGAACAAACATCTTTGGTGCTGCTCGGCTGCGTTGTCCTGGAGGATATTGCCCGGCCACTGAACAGCACCAGCTTGCCTCTTCAGGGTTCAGCAGCCAGAAAGTTATACAATTATACGTAGAACCTACTGTTTTAAAAACACCTTTTACACAGCACAAGGAATTGTGTGCCAGAGGCGTTTCAGCTATCTCTAAGCGCGTGGAGGTGCGTGGGAGCACACAAAACTGATGGTATTCTGGTTTTAGGCTCGTTTTGTGAACAGCACCTGGGTGTTTGGGAAGGGGATGTGCCACGTCAGCAGGTTTGCGCAGTACTGCTCCCTCCACGTCTCTGCCCTGACCCTCACAGCCATCGCCGTGGACAGGCACCAGGTGAGAGCTCCCTGAGGCAGGCAGCCCGCGAAGCTTGGCAGGCTGTAATTAAAAGTGAGAAGGGATGATCCCACGTCCTTTCCTTCCCAGCTCCCACATTAATGTAAGATGCGTGAGGAGCTGACAGGGCAGGGGAGAAGTTCTTGCTGTCAGATGAAAAGAACAGTTTCAAGCCTGCAGCAGGGTGGGAGGTGAGAGATGTCCATCACCTTGCAGTCGCTTCTGACCAGGTAACGGGAGCTTTTCTGCTGTGGGTAATCCAGTAGCTCTCAAACAGGGAGAAAGTCCAAGATCCTGGTAGCAATTCACGTGGGCAACCCTCCACTGGAGTGGTTTGTCTGGCCCATGGAGAAACAGTGTCATGACGGTCAGGGACATCCTGATGAGCTATCACAGCTCTGTCTCCCTTTGCTCTGGTGTTTCTCACCCCTTCATACCCGAGATACTGGAGAGCTGGCTGTACCACACTGGTATTTGTCACAAGCACAGCTGTGGCTGGTTGTTGATAATGGGCTCAAAACTGGGGAGAGCCAGGCATTATCAGTTTAGAGTCACCCAACAACCACGTAAAACAGACCAGTACAGTTGACATTTTCTGCTAGAAAGCTTCTTAGTTTCCAGAAAATGCTCTGGCTGCCAGGAGCATTCCTAGGGAGCTCCAGTTAAACCACAAACCCATGACTCTGGGTCAGTGATACTGAAGAGTCTAAGACTATTTTCTTGGGGGGGGGGGGGGGGTGTGTTGGTTTTGGTTTTTTTTTTTTACTATTAACTAAATTGAATCTGGAAATGAACATGTCTGCAAGACACGCTGGTACCCAGCAGTTCTCCCCACCTAGATACTGAAATAAGAGGGTAAGACTGAGATCTGACTTCACCCATTTCCATGGAGGAAGAATTCAGGCTTTCATGTACAGTTTACAGTCCACAGGAGACGGGTGAAGACAGTCCTGCTTATGTGTTGAATTTCCACGTTAAGTAATAGATTTTAGGCTGAAAGATTATATGAAAAAATGATATAATTATTTCCTTAAATGGCATAAGTCTGAATATTGGTTTATTTTGCACAGGTAATAATGCACCCTCTGAAACCTCGCATATCTACTGCAAAAGGTGTTATCTACATCTTTGTAATCTGGATCATGGCAACTTGTTTCTCCCTGCCACATGCTATCTATCAAAAGCTCTTTACTTTTGAATACAGGTAAGGATGTGCTTTGCTTTTCCCCACAGTCTCCCTGGAGACCAAACTCTCAGGGGTCATACTTTGGCATCTTCTACTGAAAGCCCTGAGCTCCTGTTGAACTCAGACAAATATGGATCTAGTCCATCATTTTCATTTCAGATTCCTTTTGCAATGGCTGATATCCTGCCCTTGTTTCTATTTTTGATTATTTTATCTTTATTCTCTCACATTAATCACCTGAAATGGGCTAAGAAGCTAGAGGATCTGGCCTGGACCGTCTATCTCTATACACCAGTAATTTACACAATGTACCAACCAATCTGACCTGCTGGGGCAGAACAGAAATGGGCAAAAAACCTATAACCTAACTACTTTAATCTACCAGGGCTTTAATCTACTCTTTGGCCCTGGTAAAGTGAAAACAATCTGCCTCAGCTGCTTGTTCCATAAAATGCTGTCATGAGCCTTGATATTTGGAAAGTGCTTTAATGAGGGAAAGGTCCTTAATATGTGCAGAGACTGTGTTTCTGTTTGCCAAAGGACAGAGACTAAAAACCTGCTTTCTGTGCAGCTGGAAATTTTGTAATTGATGAAATTCATAAAATTACCATAAGGTCACGAATGCCCACGAGAAATGACCAGCTCGCTGCTCACAGGCTGCTCCATGGCTCCAATCCTTTGACAGCAGAGCTCTGCTCAAGGGTGATGTGTATAAATGGAGGGTCGGGCCCCAGGCTTCCTGGCAGGAGCCCTCTCCCTCCTGCCCCCTCGTTTTTGGTGAACTTCTCCCGTGGTACCTGGCCCTACTCTTTCTCACCCCCTGTCCCATGTCTCCCCTTGCAGCGAGGAAGTTACCCGATGCCTGTGTCTGCCGGATTTCCCCGAGCCTGCCGACCTCTTTTGGAAGTACCTCGACTTAACCACCTTCATTTTGCTCTACGTCCTGCCCCTTCTGATCATCTCTGCTGCCTACATGACAGTGGCCAAGAAACTCTGGCTGCGCAATGTCATCGGGGACGTCACCACTGAGCAGTACTTTGCCCTTCGTAAAAAGAATAAAAAGACCATAAAGATGCTGATGCTTGTCGTCATCCTCTTCGCTGTCTGCTGGTTTCCCTTGAATTGCTACGTCATCCTCCTCTCCAGCCAGACCATCCACACCAACAACGCCCTGTACTTTGCCTTTCACTGGTTCGCAATGAGCAGCACCTGCTACAACCCCTTCATCTACTGCTGGCTCAACGACAGCTTCCGATCAGAGCTGAAGGCTTTGCTCAACATGTGCAGAAAACCTCCCGGACCCACAGAACAGAGGCTTCCCTCCATGGCCCCATCCTACCGACTAGCTTGGCCAGAAAACGGCAACTTCAAGCGGTTGCAGGTCTCCCACGTCCTTCCATTAGCCTCCAACATCCAGTCAGGAAAGACAGACATCTCTGCAGTTGAGCCAATAGTAGCTGTGAGCTAAACGGTGGCCCTGGGAAACCTACAAGGACCGCACATAGATTTGGCCAAAGCTACAAGGGTGGGAAGATGTGGAGCCCTGACCTGCTTCGGGACTGTACAACCACACGTGATAAAGCCAAGAAGGAGGTTCTGCAGGAGGTAGGGTGAAAGAGCTGGACGTTTGATGGAGCTGTGGAGCCCCTGAAGGAGACACCGCAAACTCTTCCCAGCAAGGAATTCTTTGTCAAAAGTTGACTTTGGATCACCTTGTAGGACAAGATTCTCTGCACGTATATCGCTGTCATCTGCATGACTAGGCCTTTTTATCACTGGGGCTGTGTGTGTTTTGCTGGTATTTACACACTGAAGCAAAAATCTAATCACATCAGACTTCCTTTCCCCTTTTTCTAAGTCTCTCAGTAACAGCATGGAAATGGTCGAGATGTAGACCTTTAGGTTTCTGGCTGGATGGGAAGGCATCCCTTCTGAACTGGGGCCTAGCAGGTGAAGATCTCAGAATGAACAAACAGATATATTTCACAAATCCATTTTTTGGTGGAAATACACTCAGAGAGGTGGAGGATAAGGTGATAACTGAAAAAAGAGCAGTGTCTTGCCTCACAGGCACTTTTTCCAAGGTAGGGTTGAAGAAGAATGGATGCCTACCTATTCGTTGCATAAGCAGATGGTGAACACTGCTCAGCATCTGCCACCGGTGCTGAATCACACAGACTTTTTCTTTCCTACGATGAAGTCATGAATATTCAGAAGGTTTTTCTTCAAATACAGAACTGAACACCAAAAAGAAAAGTTACTTTTGAGAATGTTGGCCATACCATCCACAGCTAGAGAATGGGTAATTAAACGCTACCCTGAGTTTCTACTAGGACCTTTTGATCAGAGCATCTCTGCATTATTGTCAAGTGGCAGCTAAAGGACCCCAGAGTTTGACTTTTTATTTTGTCTTTGAATGTTGCTCTCTTATCCTGTAAAGCACCTGGGTGCTTCTCAGATCAGACATTTGGGACATTTCATCCCAACTAAGACACTAGCTCTCTGGAATCAGTTCATAAGTGAACTGCTTTGAGAGAACAGATGAAATCTGTGATCGCAAGTAATAAAAGCGGAACATTTCTCTGCAAGATATCCTCTGGTGATTGCACAATTTTTGTGCATTTAAAGGCAAGTGAGATGTATCCTTCTTGGGGCGGCTAAGAAAATTGTTGTGACTGCAGCTGCCTGGAGTAGTTTACAGAACTTAATGTTCTTAGCAGAAGAAAATCTGATTTTGAATAATGGAAAAAAATGAGCATTCCAAAATCTGTACCTTGTGTAACACAGGAGCAATAGCTGTCCCTGTGCTGTGGAAATCAACTTGAATGTCACACCAGGGTGCTCTGTTCCACATTTAGCTTGCAGCAGACAGCAGTGAAGTGAGAAAAATCTTCTTTTTAGAAATGACTATAAATGGGGGGGGGGGGAAGAAAAGAAGAGAAACTGTTTTTCCCAATGTCCTGGAATAAAATTACATTTCTGAAATAGATTTAAGACTTGTTCAGGTCTTTCACACCTGAGTATTTAAAAAAGGCTGAAATGCCTACCTTGCAGTTAGCCTGTGCTTTCACAGGATGTTGTCTCTCTCTCACTTAGAATCCAGTGCAATTTTACTACCCTTTATCATGGCCCCCTGAGTCAGAATACTTTATATCACTGATGTGCAGAATCAAACCTTTCCTCCTGCCTGCGGTGACCCCTTAAACCAAGTCCCATTTCCTCTCTCAACATTTGCAAGTGGTCAGGTGGTTGGACTAGATGATCTTTGTAGGTCCCTTCCAACTGGAATAGTCTAGTCCATTCCACCCCATCCCACTGGAGACTGGTTCCCTCTGTCAAAAGAAAAGCGGTCTGTATTTACCTGCAGATTCTGGCAGCAAGTGTTCACTCACTGGTAGCAAAGAGGAGGGAGAAAAGCAGTGAGGAGGAAGCTGGGAGGGGAGGGAGCGTGTGATGGCAGCAGGAGGAAGAGACTCAGAGACAGGATGGAAGGGAAAGGGGTGATGTGAGGAAAGAAGACACAGGGAGCCCACATCATCATCTTCCTACCCTAATTTTCTCACAGGTTTTGTAAACATTGAACAAAACCATTCTGATGGCTACACATTTGTTATTTCATACTCATTAATAAAAATATTTCTTTACTTGGATTTCTGGAATGGCTTTAGGCTTTACTCAGCTTAAACTACTAATGCACTGAAGAGCTTCCCCGTCTAGGTAAAAAGAGGAGAGAGAGATCAAGAGACCCTTCCCAATAGCACCTTTTCTTCACTCAGGGAAGAAAATTATCAGGGCTATGGTTGGGTTTACCTACAGAGTCACCTGGCTTGAGGAATGGAAAATGCTGTCTACTGTTTAAAAAAAAAAACCTGCCCCTAGGGAAATGCAATATTTTAAATCTTCATGTAGTATCCAATATTTTGCAGGCTTCTTTCTCTGTTTGGTCACGAATGAAAGTTAGAATTTGCTGGTAGCTTGACCTTCTGCTCTGATCCTTCAAAGCGTCTTCGCTCCTGGCAGTGACCACGTGCCCCTCGTGTCTTCTGCCAGACCAACACTGCCGTGGCCCTGCCAGTGTCACCCCCTGGTTGGGGAGAGCCGAGTGAGCACAGCGTTGAGTGACTCTCCTCAGAAAACCAAAGCAAGGCATTTTTAAAGTACGATTCTGCTGTTGTCAGTCTCGTCAAAGAGGAGAGGGGAAATTTTTCCTTTGCATTTTGGATTCATCTTTTTATGCTTTATTTTTTTCTGTCACATCTTTTTTGTTTGGTTTTTTTCTTTTTTTTCTAGTGAGCCTGTAGCTTAAAAGACTCAAGCAGGAACACTTCAATTGTGATTATTCTGTTTGTTGTCTGGTGACGACTCAGTTGAGTTAGATGTCCAATGTTTCTTTCTTGCCCAGAAATCATCACTTTCAGAGTGTTTTCAGAGTTCAGCCTGAATGGTTGTCTTTGATTTGATGATACTCATCATCAGCAGACACAGGCACTCTGTGTGCCCCCTGGGCACAAGACTGATCAGACTTTGAGGGCAAAAAGTCTCTCCGTTTCTGTGCTGGAGAAGGACATGCTGCCACATACATGGCACATACATGTCTTATAACAGAGTTGGCAGCTGGATTCTTGTGTTTAGCTTTGTCTGGGTCCAGAGGCTCGTGATCTGAACTCAGTAAGATGTTCTTTCTGAAACTGAAAGTAACCTTTGGCCATCTTAAGATTCACCTTCTCTGGGTGCCATTATCATCCTTTGGAGAGCCACGGATGTAGAAACTTGCTGTAGCTTCAGCAGGCAAGATCCTCAGATGCTCAGTCACAGCGATGTTTGTTGCAGGTGGGTCTGAGCTCCTGCAGTTACAGCTCTGCATCCTGCAACCCTGCTCGGGGCGGAAAACCTTCCTCCTCCAGGCTCTGACCAGTGCTGGATCTGGGCATGGAGCGGGTGTCAAAGTGCTGAAGCTCTTTGTTTTAATTACAGAGCAGAGGAGGAGTGGAGCTTGTAAAAAAATGAAAAGAAGAGGCAGGTTGGACAATGAGCCTGAAGAGAATGGTCTAGGCATGGACAAGTGGCCAGTGGCCAGCAGAGGTACAAGTTTCAGAGAGAACAGGACAGAAGCGTGCAAGACAAGGACAAGCCCATTGTTAAAGCACTAGAAATGGTGCCCTTGATAACTGTACATTATGCACCCTGCTAGAAATTATTTAACACGGTACAGAGCAATTTCTGATGAGTGTTTCCTAATTAGCTATTTTTCATTTTCTTCATACCTGATTTGGGATTCTGGAGAAACATTTTGCATTCACCAGTGCTGCCGAAACCAGTGGGGGTTGTGGGCACACAAGGTGCAGTATGATGCAAACTATTCCAAAAACATCACGTCCTGGGCAATTTAAATTGAGCATTATGGTTATTTTTTCATTCTATCCCAGCTCTGTGGCAGGCCAGAGGCTTCTTTTAAAATGTGAATACAGCCATCGATGCGTAACCTGCATTCAGATGCCATCACGGTGACTGTGAAGGGATGATCTGAGTGATGAGAAAATGAGATACGTGTACAGGGGGGAGATCATCTTCTTTCATTTTCCCTTTTATGTGTGTTTGCCCATCTGATGCAGCAGGACTTTTGGTTACCTTTCAATTTTTGGTCTTGTGAGGTGCTTTGAAACAGGTGGTTTAGTAGCCAGCTTTAGAAAAAGAGATCTGCAAGAATAAGCCTGTGGGGGACTTTGGTGTGAGAAGGGACAGATTTCTCTGGAGCACGTAGGGATCATGCTGTTGGCAGGCTTTTCTTTCCCCTCCAGGAACACAATGAATCAGAGCTAAACATGAGGCATTGCGGAAAGGGGAGGTCATTTTGTTTTATCTGACTTTCTAAGCTAGTTATTTCTCCACACTCTCACCCTCATACCCACATCCTCAGAAGCACCAAGACCTGTGTGTGTCCGAGTGCCCTGGCCAGGCTGACTCCTGTGGGACACAGAACTCGAGGGTTGCTGGCTATTGACTTCTCATTATGTATTTTGGGTTCCTTTTTGTTGACAGCAATGAACTAGATTTTGGGTGGTCATTTTATACTCTTTAAGAGTCAATGATTATTATTGTTATCTTTTCCCTCAAAATCTTGCCTGCCTCTGCTTCCATAAATCCTAGGCAAGGCCTGCTGGTTTGGTTTTTTGCCTCCTTTTCGGTGTCTTTATAGATAAAGACTGTTCTCCTGTTGGGGAAAACAATGGTAGAGGTGCTGTGACTTGGGGCCATCCTACTGTCATTACACCACAGATCTTCTGCTGACAGCTTTACCCGAGCATAGCCCTCTGGCTCTGGGGCAGTGTGTTCCCTGGAGCTCACCAGTTTGGCTGCCATCAGTCATGCCCTTGGTTATCAATATAGGTCACTTTTTAAAACCTGGTTCAGTTGTTTCCTCTGGAGCTTTCACGCTGGTGCCCCTGGAGCAGATTGAGAATGTGACAGAGCTGTGTCTACTGGATGACAAAGAGTAGGCAAAGCACTGAGGAGATGCTCGTTGCAGGAGATTCACAATGCGTGAGCACGGGAGTTTTGTGGAAAAAACGAATTGCATTTGGAGAACGCATCTTCTGGCATATGAATAAGGGAACTCAATGAAGGTCACATAAGTGAAGTTAATGCTGGCATCTCCAAAACCTTGAGTGGGTGCTTCTGCAAATTTCATGATTTAAAGAGTGCTGTATTTTTTTCTATTCAAAAGTGAAATCACTCATATTGACAATACTGCTTCCTTATTTTTTTATTTCCTTGAAAAATATCATGACAGGCCTATAAAAATTAACTTAGAAGTTCTATGAATTCATGAATGTTAATTCTCTGTTTCTAATAATGTTCCTAGTGTTTTATTCATTTTCTCCATGTAGAATTACGCAGAGACCTTGAAAGGGAACAAAGACGCTGCCGGGTTGTATTTGGCAGCTTGTGTTCTTCTGAATAGCACTCAGGGGAAAATAAGTCCTTGAAGCCTTTCTTACACTAGTTGATGTCAGATGAGGTTTTTCCCTCCCAGCTTTCACTCCCTCTCTCATTCCCTCCCTCCCTCTCCCTTTGGGCTCCTGTCCCTCGGCCTGTTGTCCACGGCACCGCTGCCGCTATTGTAGCACTTTCTAGCATCACTGCTGTGAAGGTAAAATGTAGCTTCAGTCCAGGGCTTTGCATGTAAAGCTTTTTCTAAGAATTTAAACTAAGCTGCCACCTCTACAGATGAATTTCACAGATCACAGAATCACAGAATGATATAGGGTTGGAAGGGACCTCTGGAGATCATCTAGTCCAACTCCCCGGCACAAGCAGGTCCACCAAGAGCAGGCTGCACAGGAATTTGTTCAGGCAGGTTTTGAATGTCTCCAGAGACGGAGACTCCACCACCTCCCTGGTGGCTTCTTTTCTATGTCCTTTGTGAAGAGCTGTCTTTCACTATTTTTTTTCCTTTGAGAAGACTTGTCTTACTTCTCCCCACTCTCTTCTACAAAAATCAGAGCTCTTCCAACTTCCCCTTGCAGATGCCTTTTTCTAAGCCTCCAAGCCTTCTGTGTTTAATCATTATAAAAAATCTCTAAATTGCCTGTAGATCAGTTCCTTCTACTTTGATTTTGCCTGATGAAATAAAAGATGGGCTTCTCCTGTAAAAACAAGACAGAGAGAGAAGGTGCCGACACTACTCTTGGCTATGAATCCCAGGGGCAGCAGTTGATGCCAGTGCTGAGCATCTGGTGGTCACTCAGGGCTGGCCTCTTGTCTGTCATTTCCAGTGTGTCACAGAAGCACCTCTAGTCATGGTGGAGACTGAAAGTACAACGCGTGACTCCTGTGAAACAGATCTATAAATATGCTAGCTGAAAGGCTGCAGTTGTCCCCAGATGTAAATGTGAGGTGGGC